TACCCCAAAAGGATACCAATCTACGCGTGGCTCAGCTTAATTTGACTCTCTGAGAGATACTAGTTTTAAAGAATCAACCAAAGAATAGCTACAGTGACTTAAATGGCGCTAAAAAACAGAATAATCGAATCCTTTCATCTGGGACGAATTTTTAAAGATTTCATTTCAGATGGATCTGACCATCAGCAACATATAATCTGCTTTTTACTTATTTCTTCTAATACAACCCTAATCCCCCCCCCCCGTCCTCATGGTAACGAGTTTGTCTTCTTCATTTTCCCTTAGACTGTTCATATAAGGCGCCGTCTGCACTACGCCTGAGGATTTTGAAAACACAGCCTCATTTCTGTAGTTATGCCTACCGTCCACACTAATCCTTCACGAAAACGGAGCGTTTCAAAAACAATCATCAAAGAGGAGGCGTTTAAAACGCAGGCTTTTCGTTTTATCTGAAAACGAAGCTTTTGGGAGACGATGACGTCACGATGATCATGTGATTTGCCTGCCAGAGATTTCCTCAAACACAAATCCAAGNATTTTCCCTTAGACTGTTCGTATAAGGCGCCGTCTGCACTACGCCTGAGGATTTTGAAAACACAGCCTCATTTCTGTAGTTATGCCTACCGTCCACACTAATCCCTCACGAAAACGGAGCGTTTCAAAAACAATCTTCAAAGAGGAGGCGTTTAAAACGCGGGCTTTCCGTTTTATCTGAAAACGAAGCTTTTGGAAGACGATGACGTCACGATGATCATGTGATTTGCCTGCCAGAGATTTCCTCAAACACAAATCCAAGATGACCGGTGATTGTTGCATTTTCAAATTTCTCCGGCGTAGTGCAGACGGGGCGGCCTAAGATGATGTATGCTACGTTTTCAGCTCAAAGTTGGCCCGCGTATTATTGATTAGTTGTTACCCCGACAAACCGCCTCGCGTGAACTGATAACCTTAAAACAGTGATTAAATATTCATGTACTTCTGTCAGTTCTGCGCATAAAGGTATCAACCAATTTTCCTTTTCCAATGCCATAAACATTCTCTCGTGTCCGATTTGCTGGCCATCTTCAAATCAAAATTATTCGCCCGACTCAGTCCTGTAACCATTAAAAACTATCAAGTTTTCGTGTTTTCTATTACACAGACTTATGCATCTCGACCAGAATGCGTGTTCAACGAACGTACGATTAGTAACCTGAGGCCTCGTCCGATTTTTTTTTTTCCCCATCCAATTATTTCCAAATTGGACAACATGTACCGTGCTGTTCAAAAGTAGCCGGCGGCAATCTACTTTATGATGTCAGCCCGGTACTCTGCTCGGTTATTCTTCCAATTCTTTACAGAAGATTGCAAATCAGTCAGCTACTCAAACAGATAAAGCCGCCAACTTGAAAACTGTGACAACCAGCCGCTGTCTGATGCTTGCAGGCTCACCTTTAATTTTCTTCCCTCCCCAGTTATCCTTTGTTTTCGCTCCACCCGTCTTTTCATTTTTGAAAAAAAGAAAAATATATATAAATAATATATGTTACTAACGTGATGTAAAAGGGCGGATAGGGAAAGGAAGAGGTTTCTCGTGTCCTTCTTGGCGTTTTGCGCTTTTCACGCCTTCCGGTCGCGGGGAAATTGGGACGAGAGCAAAATATTGGCGGAGTGGGTGCTGGTGGGGTGAGCAAGACCAGAAATGCAAGCAATCCGACATGTTTGTGTGGTCAATGTTTAAGGGGTCTAAGGCCTTACTTTCCAAAAATCGGCCATAAATGGCGATGGTCTGTAGCCTATAACGTCCTTTCCCGATGTAAGAAGTGTTTGAAGTCCTTGAAGCCAGAATCTTAA